AACATCTAATCTGAAATCTCTAGCAACCGTATCCTAATGAAGTTAACATAGAAATCGTGTCGAAGCAACATCAGTGGCAAAATGTATTTAATGCTCATATTCTAATGTTGATAGTGATAACCAGTCTAGAAGCGTACACAGAAAAACACTCACCTTATAAAACAGCGACAAGGGCTTTGAGGGGAACTATTTTGTGCCGCCCAAAAGACCCAATACAAGAACCCCAAAAGAGAACACTAATAAAACACACATGGGACATGTGAACACTCACTATGAACAAATGGTTGAGATTTTAACCTCTTACACATCATATGTAGTACAAATAGTTAGATTGTTAACTACACAACACATCACGTCCCACACGAGTTATTTTAACCGCCTCTAGTATATAAGAAAGATTGTGCGCCTTTTTTAGGTAAAGTTATTTTCCACTTTATATCATTTTCTCACTTATTTGTGCGTTGGAGTGCTAATATTGCAGGTCAACCCCGTACCACCGTATTGAAGATCAACACCATTTCTGATTGTATAACAGAATACTGCAATATATATATATATATATATATATATATTATATATATATATATATATATACTATATATATATATATATATATATATATATATATATATATCATTTAACTATATTTAATTTTTATGTAAATTTCAATGAAAAAAGTTTAAAAGAAACAATTTTCCAACAATCATGTACTTTTATTTGCAAGTAATTTTAATTACGAGTTGAATTAATTTTAAATTGAAAAATTCACAAATTATTACCGTTAATTCGCGAGTAAATATACATAACTCACTTTTTAACACCAAATTGCAATCTTTTTGTAAAAAATAAAACACTAAATTACAATTTTAATTAGGAAAATTCAATTTTAAGTACAATTCACGAAAAAGATGATATTTCATATTTTATGGTGCAAAGTAAAATGTTAAAAAAAAAGTAAAAATAAATTATTTTTTTTGTAATCTGTAATTAGTCTTAATTTTCTTCGGGTTTTTTGTGATAAGAGTGTTTTAGAAATCTCTCATTGTTTGAAAAAAGTGGAAGTTGAACAATATATAATTAAGAGGACTCGTGAACCTAATATCTTAAAATTTTAAAGTTAAAAGGTGGTGTTTCGCTCACTTGTGTAGTTGTTCTGAATCCAATGTGGTAGCATAAAATTTTTTTTCCATGGAAACGAGAAAGGAACTTGATATTGGACTCCTTACTCCTCTTCCAAATGTTGAACGATATTCATCCTGACACTATATTTCTTTTAAAAGCAGAGAATCGAAATATGAAGAGCTTTTGGATGCACTAAGAGATGACACCAATTATATAATCGGGTTGTAAGGGATGGGCGGCACTGAAAGACTACATTGGCCAAAGATTCAAGATGATATTGCTGGACCCTTGGGATTAAATTTGATGACTGTAGTGAATCAGACCGAGCCAAAATACTATGGAAAAGATTAACCAGTGGTGAAAAGATTCTTCTAATACTGGATGATGTTTGGGGAGATATTGATTTTGAAGGAATAGTGATTCCATATAGTGACAATCACAAAGGTTGTAGAATTCTTGTAACCACGCGCAATGGGTTGGTATGCAACAAATTAGAATGCAGTAAGACAATCAGATTGGAGCTCTTGTCTCAAGACGATGCATAGGAAATGTCCAAACGACATGCTGGTCTGACTGAAAATATTAGTGGACTTCAAGTTTTTCATTTATTTAGTGATTCTTATCAAGCAACTTTATCATTGCCACAATCAATTCAGTCGTTGAAGAATATTGCTCTCTACTTTTTAGGTGTTATCTCTATTTTGGGAAATCTGCAAAGTCTTGAGACACTTGATTTGGATAAGTGTAAAATTAATGAGTTGCTAGACGGACTTGCAAAACTAAGTAATCTTAGATTGTTGAACTTGAGAAGTTATGAAATTATGAGGAATAATCCATTTGAAGTGATTGAAGGATGCTCATCACTTGAAGAGTTGTCATTGATACAATGCCTGATGTTGATCTCCCTGTTTCAAGTAACTACCGCTCGTAGCCTAGTGTCGTTGGCAATAGTTTGTTGCAGCCATCTTGAATACATAATAATAGATGAAAGATAAGAGAAGGAATCGAGAGGAGAAATAGTTGACGATGATGATAATAACGGTCAAGGTTCAAGATTCCATGAAATTAGAATACTTATTTGGATATTACTCTGATGCTCATCGAAACCATAATAATCTTCATCTTCCCGCAATGGAATGTCTCTATCTTTGTTATCTGCCAAGTTTAGTCGCCACATGTTCCTAACATTATCGCACAACATTTCCACTTTTGAAAGATCTTGGCGTTAATAACTGCTCGCAGTTTGCTATCAAATCTATGGTGATCTCACAATTCTTGGTTTGAAAAGTCTCAAGCTATATGATTGCAAAGTAGAAAAATATATATTTTCTCAATGTAGTAGATGAACAACAAATGAACTTAGGTTTTCAGTACATTGGGTTGCAGGATCTACCTACAAAGATTGTTAGTTGGTTAAATTTTTGTTATTAGTTATTAGGACTTTTTAGTATGTATTTTGGGCCTGAGTATTTTTGCCTATATAAGAGTCATTATATTTTAAATAAGAAATATATAGCAGTAACAATAACAAATTCAGTTAGAGAGTTAGTTACACCTAACTAACTCATCAATCTCTCTCTCTCTCTCTCTCTCTCTCTCTCTCTCTCTCTCTCTCTCTCTCTCTCCTCTCTCTCTCTCTCTCTCTCTCTCTCTCTCTCTCTCTCTCTCTCTCCTCTCTCTCTCTTCTCTCTCTCTCTCTCTCTCTCTCTCTCTTCTCTTCTTCCTCTCTCTTGTTTTCATAAATCATATTTCTTAAATCCTTTGTTCCAACAAATTGGTATCATAGCTGCTTGTTTGTGATTCAGAGAGAATCTAATGGCAAACAGATCACAACATCAACACAATTTCCAGTGAATCTACTGGTTTTCAAAGGTGAAAACTATCAATGATGGGTGACACAAATGAAGGTTATTTTCATATTTCAAGATGTTGCAGAAATCTTGAATGATGGAATATCACAACTGGATGGAGATGCTACAGAAGCCCAGAAAGTTGCGCACAAAGATTAGAGGAAGAAAGATGACAATACACTGTTCTTGATTAACCAGTGTGTGGTTTGTGACATATTCGAGAAGATAATTGAAGAAGAAACAACAATAGGAGCTTGGGAAAAAACTGAAATCTTTGTATGGTGGAGATGAGAAACTGAAGAAGGTGAAGTTGTAGACATTGAGGAAGCAGTATGAGATGCTTCAGATGAAAGAGGATGAATCTATTTTTGCATATTTTTCAAGAGTTGTTGCGCTAACAAACCAGATGAAGGCGTGTGGAAAAGAGAAGTCGTAGCAGCGAAAGAGTCTTGATAGTGATGAGAAGTCAAGCAAGAATACTGATTCGAAAGGTGTGGGCAACAAGTATTCTGGGAAGAAGTTGACACAGAAGAGGTGCAATGTTACAATTGTCAAGGTTTTGGTTACTATGCTAGAGACTGTCGAAGAAAGAAAGCTGCAAGGTCGAAAGATAGTGATGAAGCTCAATATACATGAGTTAGAGATAGTGATTCTGATGATGTGTTGTTGGTGATGAACACTCAGTCGACTACTAAGAAAAACAATATGTGGTATCTAGATTCAGGATGTAGCAACCACATGACTGGCCACAAAAACTAGTTTACCAAGTTAGATGATTCAGTTGAAAAGGTGATAAATTTTGCAGATGGCAGGCATATCAAGTCAGGTGGTAAAGGTGATATTTCGATTATCGGAAAGGATGTTCGAAAGGCTACTATCACTGAAGTTATATGTGTACCTTCGATGACAAGTAACTTGATAAGTGTAGGTCAATTACTTGCAAAAAGCTTCAATATGCAGTTGGAGAATAATCATATGAAGGTATATAGGGCTGATGGGAGGCTAATCATAAAAGCACCATTGGCGGAGAACAAAACGTTCAAGGTTGAACTCAACACATCAGATCACAAATGTCTTGCTTCAACTATAGAAGAAGACAAGAAATGGCTATGGCATCACAGGTATGGACATCTAAACTTCAAGAGTTTATGTATGTTTAATAAGAAAAGAATGGTGCTTGGGTTGCCGTATGTGAAGGAACCAAAGCAGATATGTGAGGAATGCTGCAAAGCTGAACAGGCAAGAAAGGCGTTCAAACGTGACTTGCCTATAAGATCAAAGAAAAAACAGGGGCTGGTTCATTCAGATGTGTGTGGATCCTTTGAAGTAAAGTCCAATGGAGTTAACCGATATTTCCTTACTTTCATTGATGAATTAACCAGACACGTGTGAATTTACCTTATTGAAAGGAAGAGTGAGGTATTCACATAGTTCAAGAAGTTCAAGTTGCATGCTGAGAAACAAAGTGGCTACAAATTGAAGAAGTTAAGAACTGATGGTGGTGATGAATATACTTCTGCTGAATTTTCTACATTTTGCAATGAGGAAGGTATAGAGCATGAGGTTATTGCACCCTATACGCCTCAGCAAAATGACATAGCTGAGAGAAAGAATAGAAATATACTGAACATGACGAGATGTATGTTGAAAGCTAAGAATATGCCTAAGAGATTTTTGGCTGAAGCAGCTTCGACAGTAGTATACATTCTAAATAGATGCCCAACGAAGAAGATGATCGAAAAGACACCACATGAGGTTTGGACAGGGTCGAAGCCAAATGTAAGTCATCTTAGAATTTTTGGATCGATGTGTTCCAGGCATGTACCTAAACAATTGAGAAAGAAGCTGGATGATCATAATGAAGTCATGGTGCTCATAGATTATCATTCGACTGGTGCATACAAGCTGTATTCACCAATTGAAGATAAACTAGTGATTAGTAGAAATGTTCTTCTAGACGAAAGCAAAGGATGAGATTGGAATCGAAGTTCAGTTCGACATGAATCAGACACAATCATAACTGTGTTTGAAGAAGATGAACAGAACGAAGCTTCGACAAGTCGAAATGAAGAACCACCTGTGCAGAATGAAAGAAGATCCACAAGAACAAGAGCTGAGTCGACTAGGATGATTAGATATGAGAGGTTTCTAGATTAAGAAATTGATGTAGATGGTAACTTAATCAAAGAAGCCATGATGATGGCTGAATCAGAACCAATTTATTTGGGCGAAGTCTTGAGCGATTCGAATTGGTGTGAAGCCATGAAAGAAGAACTTAGAGCCATTGAGAAGAACAAGACCTAGGAGCTTGTCAAAAGAACCAACAAGAAACCAATTTATGTGAAATGGATCTACAAGGTGAAACGAAGGCCAAATGGTGAGATTGCAAAGTATAAGGCAATACTGGTAGCCAGAGGTTTTCTATAAAAACCTGGTATTGACCTCGATGAAGTATATGCGCCTGTTGCGAGGATCAGAACAATCAAGATTGTTGTTTCGATAGCTGCATGTAGAAGATGGAAAATGCACCAACTTGATGTAAAGTCAACATTTTTTAATGGTCCATTGGAAGAAGAAGTCTACTTTTCTCAACCACCAGGTTTCGACGTCAAAGGGAAGGAGTCGAAAGTTTACAGATTAAGGAAGACTCTCTATAGCTTGAAGCAAGCTCCTAGAGCTTGGAATAAAAGGATAGATAGCTTCCTAATCGAAGGAGGTTTCACAAAGTGTGCCTCTAAACATGGAGTATATGTAAATGATGTCGAAAGTGTCAATCAAATAATTTTATGTCTCTATGTTGATGACTTACTCATTACAGGAGCAGACAAAGTTGAGATAATGAAGGTAAAGTCGAAGTTAATGCAGGAATTTGAAATGTCTGATTTAGGGAATCTCTCCTATTTCCTGAGAAAGGAATTCAAAGACATCGAAGAAGGAGTTTTCTTACATCAAACGAAGTATGCTCAAGGTATACTGAAGAAGTTCAATATGAGCAACTGTAAGGCAGTTGTTACTCCATTAAAGACTGAAGCAAAGCTGAAAAAGGAATCGAATGATGAGTTTGTAAGTTCGACCCTTTACAAACAAATCATTGGATCCTTGAGGTATCTTTGCAATACTAGACCAAATATTTGTCAAAGTGTAGGATTGTTGAGAAGATTTATGGAGAAACCTCAAGAATTTCATCTCATCATAGTGAAGAGGGTGTTGAGATACATAAAGGGAACTATTGATCATGGTGTGCTGTTACCAAAGAAGTCGAAGAACAGCTCATATGTCAAATTTCATGGATACACTGACTCAGACTTTAGTGGAGATCAAGATGAAAAGAAGAGTACTGCAGGATACATTTTTATGATCGAAGGAGCTCCAATCTCCTGGAGTTCGAGGAAGCAAAATATTGTGGCTTTGTCATCATGCGAAGCAGAATATGTGGCTGCATCATATGTTGCATGTCAAGCAGCATGGATCGAAATGCTACTTGAAGAACTTAGAATAATGGAGTCGAAGATGAAGTTGTTTGTTAATAACAAGTCAGCTATGAATCTTGCGAATCACCCAGTGTGTCACGGTCGAAGTAAACACATTGAAAGAATGTATCATTTTCGGAGGGATCAAGTCAATAAAGGGAAGCTCGAAATAAAACATTGCAAGACATAAGTGCAACTAGCTGACATATTCACCAAACCTCTGAAGAAAGTGAGGTTCGAAGAGTTAAAGAAAAGTATTGAGATGAGAAGTCTTGATAACATGAATTAGGAGGCGTGTTAGTTGGTTAATTCTTGTTATGTAGTTATTTGAGTTTTTAGCATGTATTTTGGGCCTGAGCATTTTTGCCTATATAAAGGGCCATTATATTTGTAATAAGAAATATATAGCAACAACAATAACAAATTCATAAAATCTCTCAGAAAGGGCCTGAACATTTTTGCCTATATAAAGGGCCTGAGCATTTACACCTAACTAACTCATCAATCTCTCTCTTCTTCTTCTTCAATCTTGTTTTCATAAAATCATATTTCTTGAATCCTTTATTTCAACAAAGATGAGTCTTTTGGTTAGTCCCAAAAATTCATTTGCTCTCAATTACCTTACAGGAATAAAAATCTTGCGATGTGAAAAATTGGAAATTGTGTTTTCCACTTCTATATTAAGATGCTTACCACAATTGCTTATTCTAAGAATAGAAGAATGGAAAGAGTTGAAGCATATTATTGAAGATGATTTGGAAAATGACAAATAAATAAATTTTGAGTCTACAAACACATACTTCCAAAAGCTAGAAATACTTGGCGTAGTAAACTGCAACAAGCTCAAATATGTCTTTCAAACCTCCGTATGTAAGTTACATTTGCATGCCATGAAATTAGTTGGATGGTTCTACTACACCAGAAAAAACTTTTCAGTCTTTTGCTTGTATTTATTTTACTCTTTTACAATGCAGTAATTGAATTGTATTACAATATTAAACAATCTTCTAAATTAAAGCTGAGTATTGAGATAAGGGTTGAAGAAGGAATTATCAACTAATGTTAAGACTTTAACATCCTCAACTCATTCAAAATCAGACACTTCATCATCGCCTTATTTAGAATTAATCAATTCATCATCAGATCTATTAACTACTTCTGAGTGTAAAATATCTTCACAGGTAGTGTTGTCATGTTTCTTATTCATTAATATGCAATTGGATTCCTAAGAGTCAAAGTCTTAAACTAATTTTAATGTAAAGAAGTTCTGAGTCTACTACTTCTAAATCTTGTATCCAAAGTTAAGAGAAATTGTTGCTAAGAAATTGTTGAGACTTAACAATTTTTTGTTCAATATGTAATGAAATCAGACTCTTCCATATTTAAGAAATCAACTAATGGTAAAAGTTTGAATTTGTGACCTCCGATGGAATAGTTCAAATGTCTCTGAGACAATTGTAAAATAGTCCAAATCTAAACCCTCTTCTAGCATCATATCTCCTATTGCATCTCAATTTCCTTCAATTTCGTCCAAAGGTAATATATTGCTTCATTTTATTTTTAATTAATTTTATTATGCTTAGAGGTTTAACTATTCTTTCTTGTACTTTCAGAAGAACCTTCTCAAATAGATGAAAATTTAAGCTCTACTTTGGTTGTCACAAGAGAGCTCGAGCAACTACCTTCCAAGAAGCATTTGAATTACGAGAACTTATGTTTGTTAAATGGTTTCCTTGCCAAGCATTCTTCTCTTCATTTAAGAGATACTTCGCTTAGTAATAGATACAAGGGCTATGCCTACAATTTACTTGCTGAGCTATTGAAATTCCTTCAAACGCATACTATGCTCGATGTATTGGGCTCATGCCGCTCTGAACTTGTTGAGTTATTAGAAGATGTGTGCAGCTTTGCTTTCGATAAGGATTGGTTGGATGGTTTTGAAAGGCGTATAATTCAACAAGAGGCGGTTTTAAATGCCTCTATTAGTTATTATACTATATTTTCTTGTACTCATTGGGGGAGATACTAAGAGCATTGATACATAGTGTAAGAATAAGTATCTTTGTGAGAGACACACCACTTATCCACCTAAAACCTTAAGGTGATAGGTGAGTGGGAGCATTTCAATACAAGTCTCTTCCGGTCCCTTTCTCGAACCAAAGACTCATGATACCATGTTGGAGGGAGATATTAGGAGCATCGATACATAGTGTAAGAATAAACACCTTTGTGAGAGACACATCACTTATTTACCTAAAACCTTAAGGTGATAGGTGAGTGGGTTCTCCCACTTATATATGCTTAAGTCTCCACATTCCTATCCAATGTGAGACTATTTCTCCACTTACTCACATTTGCTATATTATTCCAACAGTACTTATATTCCTCCAATGCTAATTTGCTATTATGCTTTTCATGTGGGAGTTGTCTTTGTTAAAATATTAAATTAGATTTGATTAAATTTAATATTTAAATATAATTCAAGTTGTGTTAGCCCAAACCCAATTAGGATTGTATATAAATAGTCATAGTGTGTATCATTATTTGTACAATTCAATAATACAAATCCTTATTTCCTTTATTATTCTCTCTTTCTCTACTCACTAAAAGTGCCTCACACACTAGCAAATTGGTATCAGAGCTTTCGGTTATAGTTCTTGATCAAGTTTTCAAGAATTTCACATCAGAGATTGTGTTTCTAGGGAAAGTGAATCAACCGCTGCGAAGATGGCTAGTGATAAGGGAATTCTGGATTCTCTTCCAATGCTTGACGATAAAAATTGGATCCCATGGAAAAAAAAAACAAATGTAATCCTTGTTTGGCTTTCATGAAACCCTAGAAGTGGTTACCAATGGCGTTCCTGCGTTGGCTGTAAATGCAACCAGCGAACAGAAAAAAGCCCACAATGAAGTCAAGAAGAAAGATTGCAAGGATGCTTATTGCATTCAAACAGTCGTCGATGCTGCTAATTTTGACAAAATCTCTCATGCTGAAACGGCGAAGGAGACATGGGATATTCTGGTGAAGTATTATGAAGGAGGTGAAAAAGTCAAGGTTACCAAATTATAAATTTTGTGCCGACAATATGAGTTGTTGTCGATGGGAGAAGATGAAAAAGTTGCAGAATATGTGTCGAAGGTTCAAAAACTCGTCCATCTCATGAAGGATTATGGTGAAACCATTACTGATAAGATGATAGTTGAGAAGGTAATGAGAATATTGACCTCTCATTTTGATCACGTTATTGTAGCTTTTCAAGAATCCAACAATCTTGAAACCACTAAAGTGGAAGATTTAGTTGGTTCATTGGAGGCGCATGAGATGAGGATTATCAAAAGGAAAGGAGTTCAAGACTCGATACAGACACTTTATGCTCAATCATGGAAAAAGGATGGTGGTTCCAACAAATTCAAAGGCAAGTTCGACAAGACTCATGGCAAGAAGCCTTGGTCGAATCTCCATAAGAATAAGGTCGAAGATAGATCTTCTGAATCCTCGAAAAAGGGAGGAGGAAACTATCGAAAGGACAAAGAAGATAAGAAAGGTATGCAGTGTTATAACTGTGAAAAGTGGGGACACTTGGCCAATAATTGTTGGTACAGAAAAGACAAGGGATCGACAGGCAAGGACGAAGGAGCGAACCTTGCACGCCAATATTCATACGATTCTGAAGGTGGTATAGTGGTTATGGCTGCAGTTACAGATAACCGTGTCGAATCCAAGATCTGGTTTCTCGACTCAGGCTGCTCGAATCACATGACTGGTCGAAAGAAGTGGTTGGAAAATTTTGACGAGTCGAAGAAGAGAAAAGTAAAACTTGCTGATAATATTGCAAGCAGAAGGTACTGGCAACATAGTCTTTCAAATGAGTAATGGAGGGAAAGTTATGATCAAAGATGTGCTCTATGTACCTGGAATGAAATGCAACTTGCTAAGTGTTGGAAAACTAGTTGAAAAAGGTTTCTCAGTTGTCATGAAAGATGGAGTTTTGAAATTGTTCGACACCAAGAAGAATTTGGTCTTAAAATCTCCATTGTCGAAGAATAGGACATTTAAGACTATGATCAGTTCGACAGAAGTTCAATGTTTTAAAATTATTGTCGACCACAAGGATAATTAGTTGTGGCATTTGAGGTTTGGACATTTGAATTTTCGATCACTTAATCAACTGATTACTCAAGATATGGTTACTGGTATTCAAGCCTTGAGATGCCTGAAAAACTTTGTGAAGGTTGTCTAGTGGGAAAGCAATCCAGAAATTCTTTCGTTTTGACTATGTCAATGAGATCATCCTGCATTCTCGAAGTGGTGCATTCAGATGTATGTGGTCCATTTGAAGAACATACAATTGGTGGAAACAGATATTTTGTTTCGTTTATCGATGAGTTTAGTCAAAAGCTTTGGATCTATGTGATCAAACAAAAGGATAAAGTATTTGAAATCTTTAAGAGATTCAAGATACTTGTCGAAAACCAGAGTGAGAAGAAGATCAAAGTTCTGCGAACAGATGGAGGTGGTGAATACACATCCAAGATGTTTAAAGATTTTTGTGAAGAACATGGTGTTGATCATGAGGTAACTGCTTCTTATACACCTCAACATAATGGAATTGCTAAAAGAAGAAATATAACTATATTAGATATGGCGAGATGCATGCTGAAGCAAAAGAATTTTCCAAAGTCTTTATAGGGAGAAGCTGTTTCGACTGCAGTTTATATTTTTAATGTGTGTCCTACTGAGATATTAAAGAACAAGGTTCCTGAAGAAGTGTGGAGTGGAAAACGATCATCAGTAAGTCATTTGAAGGTGTTTGGCTCTATGTGTTACAAGCATGTTCCTGATGCAAGGAGAAGGAAGCTTGATGACAAGAGTGAACCTATGATTCTGGTAGGATATCATAAAACTGGTGCATACAGACTATTCAATCCAGTTAATGAGAAGATTGTGTTGAGTCGAGATATTTTGATTAATGAAAATTCTGCCTGGGATTGGAATTCTAGTAATTCAATTAACAAGCCATTTATGAACTTTGATTTCGACGAAGAAACTCATGAAGTAGAGGTTGAAAGAATTGTTGAGAATCCAATTGAATTCGAAGAAGAAGCAGTTGTTAACACTCCCAACACAGTAGAAGTCAAGAGGTTGTGGCTGAAACAAGCCAAAGACCTCAAAGAAATAGAGTTCTTCCAACAAGACTTCATGATTATGAAGTGGTGGGTGATGATAAAATCACACCAGATGAAGAATTAGTTCATTTTGCTTTACTTGCAGGTGCTGAACCAATCAACTATAGCGAAGCTTTGAAGATTAACAAGTGGAAGTTAGCTATGGTCGAATAGTTACAGGCAATCGAAAGAAACAACACATGGCAGTTAGTCAAATTTCCAGCACATACAAAAGCTATCGAATTAAAGTGGGTGTTCAAGTTGAAACACAATGCAGATGGGTCAATAGCAAGACATAAAGAAAGATTAGTAGCTCGATGTTTTCTTCAAAGAGAAGGACTCGACTAATCTGAAGTATTTGCTCCAGTAGCAAGATTAGAGACTGTTCGACTAGTGGTAGCATTGGCATGCAACCAAGGCTGGTCGACGTTCCATCTAGATGTGAAATCAACATTTATGAATGGTCCTTTAGACGAAGAAGTTTATGTCACACAACCTCCTGGGTTTGTGATTTATAAGGAAGCGAGTAAAGTATATAGATTGCACAAAGCGCTCTATGGCCTCAAGCAGGCACCTGTGGCATGGAATAAGAAGATCGACTCATACTTAGTCGAATTGGGATTTATCAAATGTAAATTAGAGTATAGTGTCTATGTTCAGGTTGTAGCACAAGATATAACAATCACCTGCTTGTATGTTGATGACTTGCTAGTAACTGAAAATAGTTTGGAGAACCTGTCGAAGTTCAAAGAGCTGATGACGAAGGAATTTGAAATGTTGGATCTAGGAAAGTTGTCTTATTTTCTAGGCATGGAATTTCAAATGTCGAACCAAGGTATGGTGCTACATCAAAGAAAGTATGTCAAAGAGATACTCAATAGATTCAGAATGGATGATTTGAATCTTACATCCTCACCCGTCGAACCAAATGTGAAGTTGGAGAAGAATGGAGAGGAAGACAAATTCGATGCAACTTTGTTCAAGAAAATTATGGGATCTCTGAGGTATGTGTGCAACATTCGACCTAATATAGGTTTCGCAGTCGGATTAGTAAGGAGATATATGGGTGAACCAAGAGTGTCACATTTGAAGGCTGCAAGAAGAATCCTGAGATATTTGAAGGGTTTAATAAATTGTGGAATACTATTTTGACGAGATTCTGAAGGCAAAGAAGCAATAGTTAATTATTTTTCAGATCCTGATTGGTGTGGAGATAAGGAAGACCGGAGAAGCTTAATTGGATATTTATTTCAAGTATTTGGTGCCCCAATCTCACGGTGTTCGGAGAAGCAACCTGTGGTGGCATTGTCATCGTGTGAAGATGAATATATAGCAGGATCCTATGCTGCATGTGAAGCAATTTGGATTAGGTATGTACTTGAAGAAATGACTGTCAAAGTGAAGAAACCTCTAGTATTGCAAATCGACAACAAGTCAGCCATAAATCTGGCGAAGAATCCAGTTCTGCATGGAAGAAGTAAACATATTGAAGCAAAGTTTCACTTCTTGAGGAAAAAAGTAAATCAAGGTGAACTTGAAGTTAGGCATTGCTCAAGTGAAGCACAGTTGGCCGACATTTTCACCAAAGGATTGAAGATCGACAGATTCCTAAATTTGAGAAAGAAATTAGGAATAGTTCTGATTGACTATTATTGAGGATGTTCGACAACTTGGATTATGGGGGTGTGTTGAAATATTAAATTAGATTTGATTAGATTTATATTTAAATATAATCCAAGTTGTGTTAACCCAAGCCCAATTAGGATTGTATATAAAATAGTCATAGTGTGTATCATTATTTGTACAATTCAATGGTACAAATCCTTATTTCCTTTATTATTCTCTCTTTCTCTCCACACTAAA